AAGAGTGTTTATTTTTCATGAAGTAGCTTATTTAGTCAATTAATACTTAATGTTATAGGGAAATGCTTAATATTTGACGTTTTCAGGGGCTTTAATGTTCAAATGAAATAAAACAGGGGTAAATGGAGTGAAAGCATGTTTACATGACAGTCACAAAAAGACTCAACTCTAGTCCCATCAGTATATAGCCGCACAGTACACGTTGTATGATGAAACAATGAGATGAGTCTCACTTCCTTAGACCAACCTCACCTCACCTCTGCTGGACTCGAGAGGATCATCCGTCTCTATCAACCATCAATAGTATCTTAATATAAACTGCTCTTTAAGGAACAGCTTGTGAATTCAGCTGCAGTGTAGAGCAGTGTCTATACGCACACATATGTACTGTTTGTTTCTACACATCCTTTTATACAACAGTGCAAACATGATCACAAATACACCACAATCACACCCATAGTACTGAGCCTTACTGTATATTTCAAACAAACCAAACAGCTGCAACAGTTCTCAATGATTTCTTTATACACTGATACTGTTAAGGCCTATTGCAGAATATTTTTTTCATGACTAACTAGTATGAAATCTTTGTTTCCAGCTTTTTTTGGTAAGAAACTGTATTAGTTAATCTCAATTTTAAATAAAAAGCATTTGTGAAGTTGCTCACATGTATTGGTAACAAATAAAAAGGAATTAAACTCCTCACTTGGTTCCTCCCTCTGTGCGAGCGTGTGTGTGTGTGTGTGTGTATTGGGTTTAGCACTCGTGTGTCCTGTAACTGTAAGTTTGTGTTGTTGCGTGTTTGTCTTCTCTGGAAACGTTTCAGCTTGGCGTTGATATAAGTGTATCGGCTTCCTTCAGTTTACCACTTCTTCACCCTCCTCCTCATCTTTCCCCAGTCAGAGCTCTTTGTTGTTTGAGAACCTGTCAGCCGTAGAAGTTGTGTGAGCCAACCGAGTATCCGTCTTTTCTCTCTCGATGGTGGGGCAGTCGATGCCTGAGCATAGCTTTAGTGCAAGCTAAAACAACAAGCTCAAGAAATGCAAATGTGGCTCCAGGAATGGGGGGGTTACCGCACACATTCTCAGCCTCTGCCAGTCTATCTCTTACACAAATATGCACACTCACACGCATGCAAAAACACACACCTGTTGCACAGCCTTAGGGGTAGTGGCTGCTCTGTAGTATACTCATCTTAACCTCATCTGGCAGTAGCTTATACTGAGCCACGTTGGCATTTGACAGTCATCATTAATGTGGGAGTCTCTCTCTGCCAAAATGGAACGGCTCCTGGTTTTTTGCCCAGGGGCCTGTGGTGATAGACTAACAACTGCGGCTTGCAGACTGATGGAATTGTAAGCGCTTAACCTGTCCTTTTTGTAATGGAGTGCTGAATGCATATGTTTGTTTCAGACTTGACAACTTGTAACATGTGCAGCGTGTATTGCTGGTAGCTAAGCAACAGAGCCAACCTTCACCTGAATTCCCCACACACCGCACTGATCATAAATCTTCAGTGGCAAAGTCCCCTTCTGCTCATTTTCCTCACACCCTATCCATGTATGTTCCTCATCCTCACCTGTAACATTTCAATTCAGTGGCTCCACTTTTTGACAGGCCTGCAATTTGGACATGGCTTTACTTGTCTGTCCCAATGCAGACGCGGTTAATGATTAATAGAAATTCAAATGTGCAGGATTTACGCTACATGCGAAAAAGCAGTGATTCATGTCAGTGTGATGGAACACGGGAGCCACATGCGTACATACCAAAGACGCAAAACCAGACATGTTGTGATTTTCCAAGCACAGTTGATTTTTCTCTTTTTAAGAGGTTTTACTCACCTGTCTGCTCTACGTTGCTGTTTTAAGGCATTAAGAAAACATTCTGGCTGTTGTCAGGTCCTTTTTTTAAAATGTTCATTGAGTAGGAACACGCATGAAGCACTGTATTCACCCGGTGTTGCATACTCTGCTCTGTGTTACTCTGCAAATGGCTGTCTTGTTTCTGATTGCATGTGGAGAAGTAAAGATAACCATATGACACTGAAGTCAGACTCAACATCATTAATTATAAACACGTGTCTGCCCCTATTTTTAAAACTACGCCTTTTAGACCCTTGCCTCCATAAAGCTGACCAACATTAGACTACAAGAGCAAGGATTATTAGACTTTCGAGAAGCTATTCCTCCTGTCTAGAAAACACACTGTTCCTATTTTTTAAATACTGGTGTCAATTAAGACAACCACATTTTAATTTTGTTGCATGAGTCAGAGGAGACTGTGCTCAGTTCATGTAGCTTAGTTGAAAGGAAAAGTTGTTTGGCCTTGTTGTTTGCAGGCTGAGGTAAAGAACAGAGCATGTAACGACTTTTTCATGCCACTCATGAGAGTTCACCATCATTTACTGTACGTGATGGATGGTGGAGGGTAAAGGGGAGGCCGTGAGGTCTGGCTGGTACAGCGAGTGTATGATCAGCACGTCCCTGTGATGTGGTTCACATACGGTCAAAGAAACACTACGATCCCTGAGCAACGGTCCGTGACCACTGGATGCGGGGAAGAGTGCTTTCCAAGTCAAATCAGCCCCTGCGTGGGGAGGACTGTTGACACTGTCACATGGAGGGACTGTTTAAAACAGGAGGAATGGAAACATGGGGCCATAATCAAGTCCAACCACCCTCTGAACCCTCAGCGGCAGGTAATGCTATGTAAAAGAGCAGGTGAGCAATAATATCAAGTTGTTAATCGACAACTCACGCCGGGGTTTTCGTTTCGTTTGTTTTAATCTCTGGCTTCCACTGCAGGGCGAGACAGGGCTTGCCAGACACACTCATAATTTATTACACTACACTTTCCCCCCTTAAAAACTTTCAGAAAGTATTTTTGCATCATTTTGCAAACATGTCATTTGTCAACTGGGCTGTGTGCTTTTCTTTTGTAATGAACATGTTGAGTTGGCCCTGACAAGCCCCATTTGGCCCTTTTGTGGCTGCTGAAGGTTCGTGTTTGGGTCAGATGTCTGATGACCTTGGAGACCGCAGGCCAATGAGCCTATTTGTGGCTCACTGAGTGCGCATGGACTCCACCTCACCCCGGGAGTCTGGGAGTCCCCGGCACACAGATCTCAAATTTTAATGCAACAGTTTTGTTCTAATTTACTGTGTTTTACACACACTTTAATCCAACTGAAAAATTCTTTAGGACTTTTAACTGTTTTAAATTATTGGAAATTATAATGCATGACATTAGACCTTAAGTATTATTTACAAAGGATACTAGGCCTTTTAAAATAATACTACTCCCTTATGAGATATTTACTGAAGTCAGCCTTTTCTATAAAAAATAAACTGAGATTAGCAAATAACGTGTCTATATTTTGGTAATACTGCTGCATTAAATATTTTAATCACCTAATTTTCAACATAAAATATGCACTTAAAATATAATTTTATTTTTATAAGACTATAATGTCTTTGTCATTGAGCTAATATTAGGCTTAAATGTTATGTTTATGAATCCAGAAAGGGTCATATTAAGTGTAATGAGGTGAGGTTATTTTAATGTGGTGACAAACACTGCGCTCATAGTATTTCTGATGAACTTTCCTAGTGAGCCATGACGCTTGCTAATAGAAAATACAGGCCTTGTATGAGCACGCACATATTCTTTTTTCTTTCTTTTTTTTTTTTTTTATGGAAATCAGTTTCCTGCTCATGTAAAACAGGCCAGGAGGCTACAATACCTTGAATTTAGTATAGCTTCACTGAGAGAGGGAAGATAAATATTTTTAGCTGCGATGGTGTATACTGGTACATATTATTCTTAGAATTAAAAACTGCTGAGGATTCCCCCAAACAACCAGCAAACTCCAATAACAGCCAAACAATTTAATAAGATACATTCAATTTCATTGTGCAACATTTGTCAATTGTTAATGCTCTAGACTCCAACCTAAGACCAATGCCAATTTTTGTCTAAACGTGCATGGAGATTTCCATGCTGTCTGTAAGGCTAATTGCACTTCATTCAACGTACCTTAATCTAATAAATAAACTTCTCTGTGGAGCTCTTGCATAGGCTACATTTTTAGAGAAGTGGGGGAAACAATGCTCCATAAGACAGTTATTTTTATCAAAACATAAACAACAACACAAAAAAGCATACACACATATAAAAACAATAGCAATTAATAAGCACCCTGAAACACTAATGCAAAGTTTTTTTCCCCTCTTCTTTGATTGCTTATTCATGAAGTTATACATTACCCCATTTTGCCCAATGACATTTGCAGAAGTGTGCAGTAAAGAATCTGAGAGGAATTGTGTTGATGGACGGAGTAGCAGTCATACATCAGTCCTTCAGTACACCTGTCCTGCAAGTTCTTTCAGACAACAAGTTTGTAGTAAAAATGGACTGTTTACTCCTCGTATGTCTTTGGTCTGATTGTGTGTAGCAGGCCGAAGGAGGAGGGGGTCACCTACAGAATGGCACAAATATGGGTCCTGGGGGCCGAGTCCTTCATAGAAAGGAGGCAGTGGGAATGAAACAAAGCCACAGGGGACAGACTTGCTGTCTCCTGTCCTCACCGTCTCAGACTCACTCCCTCTCTCTCTCTCTCTCTTTCCTCTCTCTCTCTCTTCTCTCTCTCTCATCTCTCTCTTTCTCGTCTTCCTCTGCTCTCTTGCGTCGTGCTTCGGTTCCCCGCAGTCAGCTGAGCTAAGTTCCGCCACAAGAATAATCCTCGACGACACACACCAATCCCCTGCTCCCATTGTGGAAGGCTGAACCTTTCCAAAAGGCTGCTCGTATTTGCTATGAGTTCGCCTTTGAGGCTTCATGAGCTAACTAGTGGATGGGTACCCCACCGGCTTAGAGCTGTGGAA